GCAACCAGATCCGGTGGTTTGGTTTGCGAATAAACAAAGTAGTGCATCTGACACGCCATAAACATAATAGAAACACAAAGAGCAACAAGTTAATGTTCAAATAAATATGACCTTACTTTTGTGTTGTAATACAGGTTTGTCGGTGCGTTTTTTGTTTATGAAGTTTGTGCTCAATGCGACTGGATTTTGAGGAGGAAGTGTGAAGTGACGGCTTAAATTGGCTGTGAAAGGAATTCATGGACGTGCTTGGTTAGCATTTTAGGAAATTTTGACGTAAAAAATCGAAAAGTTGATTATTAAAAAAAAGTTGATTTATTGGGAGGTCGTATTTAGATTTGTCATATTCGTTGTTATTTTGTTGTTGAAGTTTGATTTGGAATACGCTATTTGTCGCTTTCTTGTCATTTTTTTTTTAGTTGCCTTGTTTCATTATTTTCTGCCTCCCTTGTTTGTCGCTTTTTTGTCTCCTTTTTTTTTTGTCATCTTTTCTTGATTCCTTTTTATCCTCTTTTTATTATCCGGTTTTTCCCACCTTCTACATCAATTTTCTTTTTTTCGCCCTTTTTTATCGGCCTGTTTGTCCCTATTTTGTCGTCCTTTTCGTCCCCCTTTTATCGTCATTTTTGCTCTTTTTTTGTCGCGTCTTGTTCTTTTTTTGTTGCCCTTTGTTCTCTTTTTATCGCCCTTTTTTTTTGTTGCGTTCCTATCGCGTTTTCGACTAGTTTTTGGCTCCTTTTTTGATCGCTTCCTTTTTGTCCCATTTTTATCACATTTTGTTTTTTTTTTCTCTTTTTCGTCCCCGTTTTTACTCGATTTGTTGCTTTTATTCACCTATTTTTGTCACTTACGTTGTTTGTAGAGCTTTTTGGCGTCTTTTTTGTCACTTTTTCGCCCCCGTCTTTTCATTTTTTTGACCGTTTTTTTGTCACCTCTTTTTTTCTTCCGTTTTTTAGTCCTTTTTTTGTCGCATTTCTTTGTTACCTTTGGTTTGTCGTCATTTTTTCCCCTTCTTTTTGTCGTTTTTTTTTGGTCATTTTTGTTGTCCTTTTATCGCGTTTTCGAGACGTTTTTTGCTTCTTTTTTCTTTTTTTTTAATCGTTTTTTCGCATTTCTTTGTCGCTCTTTTTGGGCATCTTTTTTCGGATTTTTTGTTTTTTGTTTTTTTGTAGGGATTTCTGGTGTATTTTTCACCCCTTTTATCAGCTTTTTCGTTTTTTAACGTCTCTTTTGTTTTTTACTGCCCCTTTTTTTCGCGCTTTTGTATCGCTATTCTTTTTACCTCCCCTTTGTCCCTTTTTCGTTTTTTTATCTCTTTTTGGCGCTTTTTTTCTCTTCTTTTTCCCTTTTTTGTCGCCCTTTTTTTCCTCTGTCGCCCTTTTTTTGTCGTTACTGTCGTCGCCCTTTCTTTCCCTTATTTGTAACCTTTCCTTCGTTACCTTTTTTTTTTGTTGCTTTTTATTAGTCCCCTTTCTTTGTTGTAATTTTTGTCTCCCTTTTTGTTGCCCTTTGTTATTTTCTTTATATCTCTATTTTTTGTTCCTTTTTTGTCTGACTAGTCGTGTATCTTTCACATATTTTATCGTTTTTTTTTTGTGTTTTTTCATCTTTTTTTTTTGGTGGGATTTCTGGTGTCGTTTATTGGCTTTTTTGGTTCTTTTTTTCACCTTATCTTTGGTCCTTTTTTTTCGTGTCGTTTTTTTATCGCCTCTTTTATCGCCATTTTGTTTTGTCTTTTCGTTGTCACTTTTTGTTTGTCTTTTTTATTTCTCATTGTGTTCCTTTTTTGTCGCATTTTTTGTTTTTTTTCCATTTTTCATTGCCCCTTTTACTCTTATTTTGTCGTCCTTTTTGTTCCCCCCTTTGTCGTTCTTTTTGTCCTGTTTTTGTCGTCCTTTTTGTCCCCCTTTTATTGACCCTATTGCTTGTATTTTGTCGTCCTTTTTGTCTTTTTTGTTCCTCCTTTGTCGTTCTTTTTATCCCTTTTTTGATCATCTTTTTGTCCTCTTTTGTTGTTTCTCTTGTTGCGTTTTTCTCAAGTATTTCGCCATTTTTGTCGTACTTTTTTGTACCTTTGCTTTGTCGTTTTTTTCGTCTTTCTTTGTTACCTTTTCTTTGTCGTCATTTTTGTCCCTTTTTGTGTCGCCCTTTTTTGCCCTCCTTTTTGTCGCCCTTTATTTTCTTTTTCTATCCTTTGATTCTCTGTTTGTCGCCCTCTTGTTGTTGCTTTCTTATTACGTTTTCGATTCGTTCTTGGCCCTTTTTTCCCCTTTTGATCGCCCTTTTCTTGTTCCGTTTTTTGTCACTTTTTTGCCATCTTTTTTCCACCTTTTTTTCGTATTTTTTGTCGAAAATTGTTCGTTCCTTCTTATCTATCTAGTCGTTTAGCTGACTTTTTTTTTTCGATTTTTTTTTGTTTTTTCGTCTTTTTGTAGGTATTTCTAGTGGTTTTTTAATTCCTTTTTTTGGCTTTTTTAATTCCTTTTTTTCGGCTTTTCTTTTGTTACTCTTTTTTGTTGCTATTTTTGTCCTCCTTTTCTTCCCTTTTTTGTCGTCCTCTTTTGTTCCTTTTTCTGTTACCTTTCCTTTGTTGGTTTTCTTTGTCGCCTTTTGTTTGTCCCCTCTCTTTGTCGTCATTTTTGTCCCCGTTTGTCGCCATTTTTGCCCTTTTTTTTGTTCCCTTGTAGCCTTTTATTCTCTTTTTATCGCCCTCTTGTTGCTTTCTTCACCTTTTTGACTCGTTTTTGCCCCTTTTTTCCATTTTGATAGCCCTTTTTTGTTCCCTTTTTTCGCATTTCTTTGTCGCTTTTTTGCCACCTTTTTTTCGTATTTTTTGCCTTACATTTTTTCGTTCCTTTTTATCTATCTAGTCGTCTGTCATTTTTTTTCTTTTTTTTGTATTTTGTCGTCTTTTTTGTAGGTATTTCTGGTGTCTTTTTTAACTTCTTTCTTCGACTTTTCTTCTTCTTCTTTTCGAATTTCTTTCGTCGCCCTTTTTTTTGTCGCTCTTTTATATCGCCTTTCTTTGTACCTTTTATTTGTCCTCTTTTTTATTTCTCTAATTTTCCCCCTTTTCGTCTCCTTTTTCGCCTTTTTTATTGCCTTTCTTGTTACTTTTTTTGATAATTTTGTCGCCTGTTTTGTTGCTTTTTTTGTCTCGCATGTCATCTATTTTTAACTTTTTACCGTTTTTTGTTTTTTTATCTTTTCTTGTAAGGTTTTTTTGGTGTATTTCTGTCGTCCATTTTTCAGACTTTTTATTTGCCCGTTTTTGGTACTTTTTTTGCTTTTTCATTGGCCGTTTTTTTTGTCGTCTTTTTTTGTCGCCTTTTGCTTGTCCAATTTTTTTATTTTTCTGTTTTGTCCCATTTTTAAGGCATTTAATTGTATCCTTTTTTCGCCGCCCTTAATTTGTCTCTGTTTTTGGCGTCATTTTTGTCGCCCTTTTTACACCTCTTTTTTGTAGTTTTTTTGCCCTCTTTTTGTTGCCTTTTTATCCCCCTCATGGCTCTTTTGTTGCCTTTTTTGTTAACCTTTTATTGTGCCTTTTTTCTGTGTTTTCTGCCCTTTTTTGGTCACTTTTTCCGCCTTTTTTGTCGCCCTTTGTTTCGTTTTTGCCTGTCTTTCCACCTTTTTGCCGCCGCATTTTTGCTTTTTTTCGTCTTTTTTTCTGCGTTTTTTTTTGTCCACCTTTTCTTTGAACGCTTTTTTTATTCCGTTTTTTTCGTCCTTTTTTGCCGACTTTCTTACCTTTTTTTTTCTCGCTTTTTTTGAGACATTTTGTTTGCTCTCTTTTTGACGCTTTTTTTGTCCCATTTTGCCGTTTCATTTTCCTTTTCTTTTTTTTGCATTTTTTGTCGCCCCTTATTTTTTCTAGTTTTTTATTACTTTTTATTTTTCCATGTTGTTAGATATTGGTCTTTATTTCACCTTTCTGCGTTTTTTTGTTAACTCTTTTTTCATATTCTATTTAACTAAAAAAAAAAACAGTTTTAAAATGGGGGCAATTCTGAATCAAACCTGTTAAATTTAAACAAATTTTCATAATAACGAGTTAAATTTTATTGTTAAAGTAACAGCTCTGAACTTGTGTTGAATTTCTATCCTAGATATCGAGATTTTTGGGAAAAAAATCAACATTCTAGATATACAGTTTTTCGGCTTTTCGATTTCTAGATTTTTCAACTTTCGATTTCTTAATTTTGCGATATTTAAGTTTTAGGATTTTTCAGTTTTTTGATTCTTCAATTTTTCGATTTCACGTTTTTCAATTTTAGTTTTACGATTTTTTCTATTCCCTAAACTTTCTAAATAATTAATTTGAATCCAGAACTGATTTATTATTTGTGATTGGTTCTGATTTTCTATTATCAGTTGTTTCTCCACTCTGCCGTCCGTCTTATATTCTTTTACGAATGTTGAATTGAATTTTTTATAACCCTTTGTAATAGCATCGCTTTTCCATCCGGCACAACAGCCAAAAACAGAGTGGCTGAACCTCTGCGAAAGGTGTGGCTGGTGTATATTTTTGAATTCCGGGTTTAAAGACGTTGTTTTTCCGAGATTTTAGCCATTGAGTGATCGTCAATATTTGATGCCTCGAAGCAAAATAATTCCGTTAAAAGCTGATGTGCGTGTTTTCCGAAAGGTTTTGTAGCTTTTTTAGATTTTTTTTCTCGTGTTGTGAGGTTTTCTCGTCGACAGGTGCGTGTGAATTGACTAATTTACAACAAATTAGAACAATTATCAAAATTTTAGCCTTCTCGGTAAGCAACAAATGTTCGTGTAATATTAAGAGTGTTTTTTATAATTCCCAAGGTAATAAGCCCAAAGTAGCGGCACTAAAAACGTGAAGAATAATCACCGCACCGAGTCCGGTAACGCGTCTTTACCGGACGCGGCAAATAAAGTGACACTTTACGGCAAATAAAGTGACACTTTATTTACAATAAATAATAACCCCATCTCCGTCGGATTTCAGCTGACCCGGATTTTTGTTGCAGGGTGCCGCGTGCTGGTAGCTCCCCTCCCCGCCCCCGACCGCAGCGATGGACACGAACAGCACCCGCGGCTCCACGGGCCAGCTCTCCAGCACCGGCAGCACCGGCGGCGGCATGCACCACTCCCACTCGACTCCCGCCGGCGTAGACGGCGGCGCCCGGACCCCGCCCGCCACGCCGAAGAAGGGCGGCAAGATGCTGGCAATCCGCGTGCAGATGCTCGACGACGCCGTCACCATCTTCCAAGTGCAGGTGATTGCAGACGCTCGTCTGGCGTCTCGCGCTATTTCCGGCGCTTTTTGCCGTTATCGGGCGGAGGCGGCGTTCATGGCCGGTGGGCCCGTATTGTGAAAAAGCGGCGCACGAAACGGTAGATTGCGTTCGGTAATGATGATGGCGTGTCTGGCGCGGAATCGCCATAAACAATGGCGGCGGGGGCGACAATGGCGGGGAATAATGGGATTTTGCGGAAGCTGGGGCCGCGGGGGGAGATTCGCGGCGAGGGGTATGTGGAGGTCGGTATAGAACGCCAACGAAAACTGTAAACAAAAAACCATAAAAATATTTATTGGTATCGCTGAGAAGTCAAATTATTATTAATAAAAAAATTTCTCAAAAATTTGACTTTGACACTTAATTAAAAAATATGCGTGGATTGTTAAAGTAGAGATAAAGAAGCATCGTACGCGTATGTTCCTAGTGAGTTTTTCTATATAATTTTTTTTAATGACGTCATCAACATTTTCACGTAGATGTTCAAGAAAATGGAATGCGCAATAAAACATGTCGCCTCATTCACTAATTTTTTTGAGTCACCTTATATAAGCAAATGAAAAAAATCTTGAATGCATTGATACACCATAAATTCACCAAAGCGTGGTAACACAAAATTTATCCGTCCATGCCCTCTCAGGAATTGATGATCTCATCTTACAGTCTTGTCGAATAAATGTTATTTAAATGTTAAAAAGTAACATATCCTGAACTCTTGTGGTTTATGAATCCGTGTTGAATTTTTGTTCTAGACATTCAAATTTTTGGAAAAAAAATCACTTGTAGGTTGTAGGTATAACAATTTTTCGGCTTTTGTATTTCTCGAGTTTTCAACTTTCGATTTCTCAATTTTTCCATATTTCAGTTTAGGACTTTTCTTTTTTTGTTCTCAGTTTTTCAAATTCCCGATTTTTCAGTTTCTCACTTTCTCGATTTTCAATTTTTTAAGTACTCAATTTTTGGATGTTTCATTGCTGGGATTCTTCAGTTTTTCGATTTTTAAATTTTCGATTTCTCAATTTTTTATTTTTCGATTTGTCAGTTTTCCGAGGTTACAGTTTTTAGATTTTTCAATTTTCAAATAGATATGTGCCGAAGATTCCCACAACTCATATGTCGAAAAACTGAAAAATCGCAGATAAAATTGAAAAAATCGTGAAACTAGATTTTTTAAATTTTCTCTTCAATTTTTCGATTTTCAATTATTGACGGTTCTAAATTTTCAATTTTTCGATGTCTTAATTTCTCGATTGAGTTGAGACTCTCTTGATTTTTACATTTCTTGATTTTTTGACTTTCCAAGTTGCGATTATTCAATTTTTCGATTTTTTAACTTCTCGATTTCTCGATTTTTTAATTTTTCGATGTTTCACTTTTGGGATTTTTCAGTTTTTCGATATTTCAGTTGTGGGATTTTTCAGTACATATGTCGCTTTTTTTTGGTTTGAGACTTCGTTTTTCGATTTCCCGATTTTTTACTTTTTCGATTTTTCAATTTTTAAAATTTTTAATTTTTCGATTTCTCAATTCGACTTCTCCGTTTTAGATTTTTCTATTTTTCGATTTTTAGTTTTTCGATTTATCGAGATTTCGATGTTTCGATTTTTTGATTGTTCAATTTTTCGATTTTTTAATTTTACAGTTTTTCTAATTAGTTTTTTTTATGGTAAATTTTTCAGTCTAGTAATTTTTAACTTTTCGACTTTTGTATTCTGGCCCATTTTAATTTCTCAATATTTCGATTTTCCGAATACTCGACTTGGGATTTCTTAATCTTTTGATGTTTCTATTACCGGATTCAGGTTGAAATTTGCGTTTTTTTGATGTTTTGGTGTCGGGATTCTTCAGTTTCTCGCTTCTCTAAATTTTCGATTTCTCGCTTTTTTTATTTTTCGTTTCGTCAATTTTATGATTTTTCATGTTTCTCCTCAATTTTTCAATTTTTTCAATTATTGACGGTTCTAAATTTTCTATTATTCGATTTCTTAAATTCTCGAATAATTGTTTTGCTTTTCCCATTTCCCGATTTTACGACTTTCCAATGTTTCGATTATTCAGTTTTTCAGTTTTTCAGTGTTTCACTTTTGAGATTTTTCAGTTTTTCGATTCTTCAATTTTCGTTCTTTATTTTTCAGTTATTCGATATTTCAGTTGTGGGATTTTTCAGTTCATATTTCGATTCTTAATTTTTTTGGTATCCGACTTTTCCAATTTTCGATTTCTCGATTTCTTCCTTTTTTCAATTTATCAATTTTTATATTTTTAAATTTTTTAAATTTTAGATTTTTCGACTTCTCGGTTTTAGATTTTTCAATTTTTCGGTTTTTAAATTTTTCGATTTTTCGATTTATCAAGATTTCGAATTAGTTTTTTAATGTTAAATTTTTTAATTTTATAATTTTTAACTTTTCGACTTTTGGATTTTGGCTCGTTTCGATTTGTCAATATTTCGATTTTCAGAATTCTCGACTTTTCACCTTCCCAGTCTTTTGATGTTTCAGCTTGAATTTTTCGATGTTTCATTTTACAGTTTTTCCATGTTTCACTTTTTCGAGTACTCAATTTTTCGATGTTTCAGTGTTGAGATTCTTCAGTTTTTGTATCCTTCAATTTCTGGATTCTTCAAAATTTCAATTTCTCGATTTTTTTATTTTTAGATTTGTCAATTTGTCGATGTTACAGTTTTACGATTTTTCAATTTTTCAACTCTTCGAGTTTTCGATTTTTCAATTTCTCGATTAATCGATTTTTTTTATTTTCCCTTTTCTCTATTTCCCGACTTTCCAATCTTTCGATTATTCGATTTTTCAGTTTTTCAATTCTTATTTTTTTCGATTTTTTGACGATTCGATTTCTCGATTTTTCACTTTTTTCATGTTTCTTTTTTGGGATTTTTCAATTTCTCGATTCAAATTTTCGATTTTTCGATTTTTTTTATTTTTCTATTTGTCAGTTTTCCAATGTTAGAGTTTTACGATATTTCGATTTTCCCATTTCTCGATTTCTCGATTATTGAGTTTTTCAATTCAATTTTTCGATTTTTTTATTTTTCGAGTTCTCAGTTTTCAATTTTTCGATGTTTTGGGATTTTTCAATTTTTCAATTTTTCGGTATGTCAGTGTTGGGCTTTTTCAGTACGTATTTCGCTGCTTAATTTTTGTGGTTTTCGATTTTAGATTTTTCAGTTTTCTGATTTTTCGGATTTAAAATTTTTCGATTCTTCGATTTCTCGATTTGTCGACATATATTTCAAATGTTTCGATATTTTGGTTGTTCAATTTTTGGATTTTTTGATTATTCAATTTTTTGAATTACGCTTTTTAATGTTAAATTTTTCAATTTTGTAATTTTCAACATTCGATTTTTGGATTTGGCCCATTTCGATTTCATTTCCCAATTTTTCGATTTTTCGAATTCTCGACTTTTTGATTTTTCAGTCTTTTGATGTTTCGATTTCTCGATGTTTCAATTTCAATTTTTCGTTGATTCCATATTTCTACTTTTCGGTTTCCCGATTTTTCGATTTGTAAATTTGTAAATTGTCCAATTTCTCGATTTCTCGACTTTCCAATCTTTCGATTATTCGATTATTCAGTTTTTCAATTCTTCAATTTTTCGACTTTTTGAATTTTCAATATCTTGATTTTCAATTTTTCGGTGTTTGATTTTTGTGCTTTTTCAGTACCTACGTATTTCGCTGCTTAATTTTTTTGGTTTTCGACTTTTAGATTTTTTGATTTCTTACTTGGTTTTACATTTTATAATTTTTCGGTTGTTAAATTTTTCAATTTTTCAGTTTTCTGACTTTGCGGTTTAAAAATTTTTCGATTTCTCAATATTTCGATTTTTCGAATTGTCGACTTTTTGATTTTTCTATCTTTTGATGTTTGGATTTCTTGATGTTTCAGTTTTAATTTTTCGTTGAGTCGATGTTTATACTTTTCGGCTTCTGGATTTTTCGATTTTCCAATTTCTCGATTTTCTATTTTTCGAGTACTGAATTTTTCGATATTTCAGTGTTGGGATTCTTCAGTTTTTCGATTCTTCAAATTTTCGATTTCTCCATTTTTTTATGTTTCGATTTGTCAATTTTCGGATGTTACAGTTTTACGATTTTTCAATTTTTCGATTCTTCAACTTTTCGTTTTTTTAATTATTGACGGCCCTTAATTTTCAGTTTTTCTATTTCTAAATTTCTCGATTAATTGAAGTTTTGGTTTTCCCATTTTTCGACTTTCCAGTCTTTCGTATTCGATTATTCAGTTTTCCAATTGTTCGATTTTTCGACTTCTCGATTTTTCAATTTCTCGATGTTTCATTTTTGGGATTTTTGTTATTTTTCAACCCTTGAATTTTCCTCCCATTTTTCAATTTTTCCATACTTCAATTTTGGTATTTTTCAGTCCATATTTGGATTCTTTATTTTTTTTTTTGGTTTCGACTTTTCGATTTTTCCATTTCTCGATTTTTTACTTTTTCGATTCTTCAATTTTTCGGATTTTAAATTTTAGATTTTTCAATTTTTTGATTATGTATTCAGTTTTTCGGTTTTTCGATTTCACGATTTATCGAGATAGATTTCGATGCTTCCAATTTTTGATTGTTCAATTTCAGGATTTTATGTTCATTCAATTTTTCGATTTTTTTATTGTTAAATTATAATTTTTAACATTTCGATTTTTGGATTTTGGCCCATTTCGATTTCTCAATACTTCGATTTTTCGAATACTCGACTTTTTGTTTTTTTAGTCTTTTGATGTTTCGATTTCTCGATGTTTCAGTTTGAATTTGTCGTTGATTTGATACTTCGATTCTATACTTTTCGACTTTTCGAATTTTCGACTTTTCGATTTCTCGATTTTCCAATTTTTCGATTTTTAAATTTTAGATTTTTAAAGTTTTCTATATTTTAATTTTTTGACTTCGCGGTTTTAGATTTTTCGATTTTTCTGTTTTTAAATTTTTCAATTTTTCAGTTT